TATCTTTAGAAGTCTGAAGACACTAAGGAAGGATAACAGATGGCCAGCCTGGTAGGAGTAAATCTTTCCCAAGCTTCAGATATTAAGTTGCAAGGAAATGAGGGTGTTTTTTACCTGCAAGTGGGAACCTCAGCGTGAACACGAGTCCAGTGCCAGCAAAACTCTGCTCCGGGGAAGAAATCACTTATGGTCCAGTCTCTGACATAAGATTTACAGTGTGTTGTATCACTGCAAATAGTTGTTGTCCTTGGTCAGACTAAATCTAACTTCCAGCCTATTTTGAAATATGAATCAATGAGATATTTCTGCGTGGAAGAGGTGGGAGGTTTTTTTTTTCCCTTCTACACTCACCCGTATCTTTAATTCTTATTCCCCTGACATCTAACTTTGGCTGAAACTACAAGGCATAAAATTTGCATTCCTAAAAATCTACGGAGAAGTCTCTAAAAAAATCTGGTGTTATCATTTTGATCATTCCTACTTCCATAGAGCACAATTCCGCTCATGAATTTTCTTGGAGATCTTCAGATAAAGCGAAGAGTTTTTAAATGCCTGTACAGCCCATTTTATGGGCTTCCTCCATCAATTTGTCTCTTAGATTACCCTAAGAGGTCTGCTACAGGGCAAAGAGTTTTGGGGTCTGTTCCAAGCTCCTCTGAGTGAAAGAAAAGCCCTTAGTGTATCTGCATTGCTCTGCAGGGTTGGCACTGGAGCAGCATTAACAGGGTGTGCTTCACATCTCACCCTCTTCCACCCTCTTGGGAATTCTTTTGGGTGCTGGAAGGAGCCCCCCAGGTGAATTTCTGCTGCACATGGGGCACACAGGTACCTGGAATTACCTAAAACCTGTATTTGGTTGAGCTTCCAAGATGACAGGTAGGCAGGTGTGGTCTTGAAGGCAAGTAGGAGCCACCCTTATCTGCAGGAACAGAAATGGTCTCTTCACCTTCCCTGACTTAACTCATCAAGCCCTTACTTACATTAGTTGTGATGGGGGAGACAAATGAGATAAATGAAGCAGGTTAGATCCCTTCCAGATTTTAATTCAGATTATTTCACACTGAGAACTCTGTTTATTTCATAGCTATATCCCTATTTGGGGAATAAAAAGGAAATAACCTCCAAATTGTTTTACAGAGGAGATAATCTGAGCAGTGACTGCCTTTTTTTTTTTGGGTAGGGAGAAATCACTGTATTGCAGGGAGGAGAGGAAAACTGGGCATGCATTTTACATGACCAGGTTATTTGAGAACACGACAGCTCTAACGAGAGAGAGAGATCATCTTGCTTGTGGCTGTACAGAGTGGAGGTCAGACAGCTCTGAATTAGCAGAGTCATTAATATTCTACTACAACATAGAGCTGGAAGGGACCTTCTAGGTCACCAAGCCAACCATGTCATATAATCCCATTTGAGAAGAGAGGGTGACATTGGAGGCTGAGGAGTGGAGAAAATGCTTGTGGAGACAAAAAGTGCCAGAGTTGTTAACAGGGAGTAGGGACAAGGGATTTGTTTAAGGAGCTTGAGGGAATTACAGACCTGACTGGGATGTCTTGGAAATTTCCAGTATTTCTGAAGTAACTTCTGTGTGTTCCTTGCTGTGTTTGGGGAGGAGAAGCCCAACTCTCCACTAAATATCTTGTATTATCAGCCTTCACAACATAAGAGGAAAGGTTTTCCTATGTGGATCAGTGCAAGATTCTGGGTACAGAGCAAAGAGGGATCCAGCCTGCCTGCTTTTGGTGCCCTCAGTTCTTCCTGGAGCTCAGGGTGCTCAACCCTGCCGAGATCATCCCTTTTGGGTTGAGTTGTGAAGGACACACAACCATGGCTGTTTCTCAAGTATGAATGCAAGAGACAGTGTCCTGGAGCAGGGAATTGAGGTGCCAGCTTTCCTTCCTGGGAATCCCACTTGATTCACGTCTCAGCTTTGCCTGAGCAGAATTTTAATGCCTCTCTCCCTTTGTTCTCATCCATGTAATATGCTCAGATAATTACATTTCTGTGTCTCACAGGGATGTTGTGAGGTTTCTCTAACATTTACCAAGTGTTTGAAGAAGATCTTATGAAGGTAGAGTGCAAGCACCAGAAGCTTAGAGCAGTCCTGACGAAATCCTTCCTTTGAGCAACGTAGAGAAATTCAAATGAAACAACGACAAACATTTTTTAACAGCAAAAATTAATTAACTGCTACAGCAGCTTCCCAAGGGAAGTGGGAGATTTTCCATTGCCCAAAACCTGTAAGTCAGAGCTGCCTGTCATGTTGAAAGACAGGTTCTAGCTTAGATGCAAGTTATTTAGTTCAGTGCAGGGATCACTGGAGGATGTAGACAATAGAAATGATGACACTGTGAAGTTACAAAAGTTTTATCACTGTATTTATTTGCCTTCACTCTTTTTCTCCTTTTTCCACATTGTGCCATGCCAACAGTGTACAGTTCTGTTTCTATTTATACACAGACCTCAGACATTAAATAGAAGAGTCTTTTGGGAAACAAGGCTCTCCTCTCCGATCTCTCCTGGGTGCATTGTCCTTCATGTGTTTATGAAGCTGGAAAGGACACATCAAAACTATTTTACTTTCACCTTCCACTCTTGCCTCCCTGTGATATCTGTGTGGGATTTTATACAGACTTCCATCCCAGGGTTGTCACTTTGGGGTCTAGATCTAGATTTGGGAAGAAGGGTTTTGGCAATGGATGGTGTCCAAGCATCAACTGTTCCTGAGCATGGCCAGGTGCTTTGGGCCTGTCTCCCTGTCATATCCTTGTGGAGGAAGACAAAGAACCTGGTGACAAGAGTTCCTTGGTCCCATAAGTCACATTTGCCACTCCTAATTACATAAGACATTGCCAAAATTCACACAGAATTCTCTCTTCTTCTCTATTAAAGAGTTTAGACTGGTTTTTTGTGCCTCAAAACCCAACAATACGTGGGTTTTTTTTCTAAAAACCCCAAATGGTTCTCAGAGATCAACCATGACTTGATGTTTATGTCAAATTTGCAAAGATGAGTTACTCCTACGAAACATTCAAGAGAAGCATCCAAATAACCAACTGGTGGGCAGTGTCTTCTACTGTGATGGATGAATTTTTAAGGGAGGAAAGAAGGAATTATGTAAACAATAGACAGGTTTTCCCTGTTATTAATTTAAAGGTGGTTATAACACAAACTGTGATAAAACAGATTTCAGAGGTGACCTTTGCTCTTGAAGGTGGGGAGTGTGAAGCGGTTCATCGAAAAGATCCCATCTGAAAAATTAATTTGACAGTGATGATCCAGCAAGTGCTACTGTAAATACAATTTTCTTGATTTTTAAAGAACCATTTGGTTTCCAGACACACAATTCAACACTGCGCCAACTGGCAGCTTTGGTGTTTAAAAATGGATTGTGTCGAGACAAGGTAATACCCAGAGGCAAATGTGCTGTTATGAAAGAGCTGTACAGGTTTATATTAGAGTCAAAAAAAGGGGTTTGTGACTGTCAGGAGGCAGGCAAAGGGCAAACTTGGATCTCATCAACACACTGAGAGTCTGCAGAAGTCAACTTCTGTCTTATGGCTACACGGGCTGACTTTCAAAACTGTGTGAGCTCGGAGGATGGACTCTCATGTTCTTTGTTTCCATTTTGTTCAGGCTGGATGGGGCTTTGACCAACTTGGGCTGCTGGAAGGTGTCCCTGCCCAAGGCAGGGAGTGGGAATGAGATGATCTTTAAGGTCCCTTCCTACCCAAACCATTCCATGATTCTGTGATCTCTGTTTTGGAGGTGTTCAGCATTCAAACAATTTTGATGAATTTAGAATGGGATAACTTCGGGGGGTGAAGAGATTTCCTAACCTATACCAGATAAAGGTGTTTTAAAGATGTTCCACGCTCCTTGCTGCTGGGCAGAGCAGAGAATAGAACCCCCAAGGCCTCACTACACAAACCCATTTAAAGCCAGGAGGGAACATGATGCTGTGCCATCTGTGTGGAGCGGAGCAGAGAGCAGAGAGCCTCACTCAGCAGTTTCTGAAACAGTCCCCTAACTCAGACTAAGCAGGAGAATTAGACCCAGTCCAATTTAACATTTCCCAATGACAGAGAAGCATCTGCCCCTCCTGTGATTAGTTACCACAGTTTAGAAGACACACACACACAAAGAGATTTTATGTCCATTCTGAATGTCTATTTCTGCTCCATATCATGAGCACCCCACCCTTCCCTTCCCTTCCCTTCCCTTCCCTTCCCTTCCCTTCCCAAACCTTCCCTTCCCTTCCCAAACCTTCCCTTCCCTTCCCTTCCCAAACCTTCCCTTCCCAAACCTTCCCTTCCCAAACCTTCCCAAACCTTCCCTTTATCCTTGTAGCACTGATGGAAAGGGTGGGTGAACCCCTCATCTGGTAGATGTGCCAGCCAGGTTGATAGAGAGGCTGGATATAACCTGATTCCTGGGATCATCTGTTCAAACCCCATCTATCTTCCTGCTCTTCTTGCAGGGCTACTGGAAATATCCATGTTCTCTCTTTTCTTTGTTTTTCTAGTAGAGACAAAACCACCTTCATTCCTTCTCTCCTTGGCCCCTTTCCAGCCACCTCCAGTTCTTCCTTGCATCCTAGGTCCACTATTCCTTTTCTTGGACAGCAAAAAAGTGAGTTTTTTTTCATTTTCAGTGCCATTTTTTGCCTCCACAAATGAACATCAGGGAAGAAAAAGGGGAAGTATTACCTGCTTCACCTGGATAGCCAGGCTGTAAGTGTTGGCCAGCCTGTTTCATGGCCTGGGAGGCTCTAAAAAAAGACTTAAGAGAGATTTCTGGATGTGTTGTACAGTCATTTACAATCCCTGAAGATGAGAGTCAATGGTTTAGATGATCTTTACCAGATTTATGTGCCAGCCTTTGCCCTCAGTTTTTCCTCTTTAAAAACAGCCCATCCACTCATTTCCTTCTATATTTGTATATTTTGATAAACTCAAGGGTTCTGTGGCCATTCATTGGACTGGCTGCCAGAACCTCCTTTCTTCCAACTGCTTCCTCGGGGGGGTTTTGGTTCCTAAAAAGGGAAAGACCATCATCTTCCCGTTGTGCCTTTTCCTGAGAGGAGCCCTCCCTGCAACACACAACAGGACACACCCACCCCACGTGGCATTGTAGTCATGAAGGGCAAAGAACACCTGATCTCCACCCACTACAGCAAGGAGAAGTTGTGCAGAGAGCAAGCTTGACGCTGGGAGAACGTGAACCTTGTTAATTAAAATGTCAGTGACTCAAATCCCCTTAAGGTGAGAGAGAGAGCGAGCTGCATTTTTTATTACCATTGCTGTTAATGATACAGTCAGCTGGTACCTTGTAAAGGCAGAAAGCACATTTACCTTGACAGGCTCTGCCCACTCTGAAAACTTCCTCTGTGCCTCATGTATGACTCTTCCAGAGAATCGTGGAATAAGGCTAGAAATGGAGAGAAAGTAAAAAAAAAAAAAAAAAAAAAAGGCAGTGCTTTCAATTTTTCCATCCTGTTTAGCTAAAGGAGAGGACATGGCCTCAAGCTGAGCCAGGGGAGGTTCAGTTGGACATCAGGAAGAATTTCTTCATGAAAAGGGTGTTTAAGTATTGGAAGGGGCTGCCCAGGGAGGTGGTGGAGTCCCCACCCCTGGAGGTGTTCAAGAATGACTGGATGTGGCACTCAGTGCTCTGGGCTGGGGGACAAGGTGGGGATGGGCCACAGGTTGGACTGGATGATCTTGGAGGTCTTTCCCAACTTTAATGATTCTGTGATTATTCTCCAAATCTTGAACATGATATTGGAAATTAACATCAAGCTCATAGGAGAGGAGGAACAGCCCAGAACAGGGGTACATGGATAACGAGGAGGAAATGGAGTTGGAGCCAAGGAAGAGAAGTAAAGCTGGGAAAAGGCAAAGGTTACTGTTTCAGGATGGGTTCAAAAAGGGTGATGTGTGTCTTATGACTTGAGTGTTCTGCTGAAAAACCTTCATCAGCTCTCACACAATTGGAAGTATCAACTACTCTGCCCTATTTTGCCAACTGTGATATTGTAAACCTGCCCTTCTTCTCTTTAGAGAGGGTGGAGAAAAGAACTGTAAAAGGAAGGTCTTTAAAAAGTATAAAGGAAGGGCTTGAGAGACATGGCTAAAACTGTACCCCATGTCCTCATGTACTTTGCAAATCTATAGGGCCACCTCCATGGCTTATTTAGAGCAACAGGCTCAGTGAAATGGAGCTAATGAGAGCGCTTTGCTTCTGCTTTGCCAAAGACTAGCAGTGAACAGTGTGACCATGGTTTCCACGGTTTTTCTAGGGCAGAAAACACTCAGGCTTTCTCATTCCAGCTTGGTGGCATAACCAGGAGGTGACACTTCTTTCACAGCTACTTAAGCACCTGCAAGATCTCACTGTAGCACTAAGCATGAGCTTCAAGAGCTGCAGCGAATGCAAATGCAGCTCCAAGTTAATGGGCCTGTTCTGGTCCTGAAGTACAAAATATTTCAGTCAGGACAGTGTCTATGAGTCAGGCTCCAGTGGTTCTGATTCCACCTGGGAGCAGTTCCCACAAAGGCCAGCCAAGTCATTAACAGTCTATGGCTAATTGCCTGTTGTAAGAATGGCATAAAGCACCTTTGCTTTGAGATGAGCTCAGCTTGAGCGGTGCTGCTGGCTCCAAATGTGGTGGGTTTAGCCAGGATTTATCTGCTGTCTTGGTGTTGTTATTTGTGGCAATTCTGCTCAAGATGAACCAGGAAATGCTCTGCTTAAAAACCTCATCTTTCCATGACCTGTGCTCCTGGTGAGGAAGATCACGAGATCCAGACGTCCAACTGTCCCGGCAGCCTCTGCACGTGTTTGCTGTTGCAGCTTTGAACGTGCAAGGTTTCCATGAGCACTGTCTCACATTTCTGGGGGATGAGGTTGTCTTTGGCTGTGTCAAATTGTGACTCAGCAGGTTGTAGTAGCACATTTTTATTGTTGCAAGAGAGGAGGGATCAACCCTGAGCTGCAGAGATGAGTGTAAGGAGTAGAGCAAATGCCGTACGGGAAAGAAAAGGTTGAGCAGGAGAAAGACCCTGAGGTTGTGTTGAGGAACAAGAGGGAATTTTTAGGGGTTAAAACAATTGCAGAATTGTTTCTACCTAAGAAACATTTTCAGAATTGCTCCTATCTAAATCTATCTGAGAACATTTCTGCATTGGCACAGCTGTAAGGAAACAGTCCTGGACAGATCATGTCACACTTTGGGAGCATCTCAGGCATGTCAGCATGTCCTACCCAGGCAAATATAAACTGATTACAAGGATAAATTATTCCTGGGCTCAGCCAGTTCCCTGCTCTGGGCTGTGTCCATGGACATGTTGGATGGTCAGTGCCATCTTGAATGGGGTTTTGAGCGATCTGGTCTAATGAAGGTCTAATGAATGTCATGGCAGAGGGTTTGGAATTAGATGGTCTTTAAGGTCCCCTCCAACCCAAACCATTCTATGGTTCCATGCACCTTCCATTGAAATTTAGTGGGATTATTATTAACTCCGGTAATCGTGGGGAAAAGTCTGCATGTCATATTTATTATATTTTATAGTGAAGAGCACTGCCAGGCTCCTTTGTACTCCAAAGGAGAAGAGGTAATCTTGTCAAAACCCTAAAAATCTAAGTTTTTTTATTAATATTTGCTCACATTTAAAAAAAACAAACCAAAACAAAAACAAAACAAAAAACCTCACAACACAAAACAAACAAACAAAAAAAAAAATAAAAAAACCAAAACACCAGCAGATATCTAACTATTCTGATTTCTTAATCTCTATTATTAACCTCTCACACACTAGACATGCTCAGTGCATGGGACATTAATCCTTTCTGCTGAGTGACCCATGCTTGAGGAAACTGCTGCTGTATGAATAAATAGTAATAAGCACACTGAATATTTCATTGGCAGGAAGAACAGATTCTGGAAGGGAGGAGAATTAACATGTGTTGATTTTTACCCTCACGTAAGAGTGTTTCTGACAGCAGGACTGTCGTGCACTGCCCAAGAAGGAACAGGAGCAGCAATTTGTGACTGCTCTGACTGATATCACCAACCAGTGTGGCATCCAAATGGCTCTTCTTGCTTTTTGTAATGAACGTGACATTGAAAAAAATAATTATATTCACCAAAGAAAAAAGAAGCGCAGAAGTGAAAATAACGAATAATAGTCATGAAATCCTAATCTCTCAGTAGGCAAAAATACAAATTGTATTGGATCATTACCCGAAGTGGACCACTCCCTAGGGATTCACATTACAGTGTGGACAGACAAAACATTGAAAAATGAATACTTGGGTAGTTTTTCCTGGCCTGGAATGAATAAAAAAAATTAAATTGTTGCCACAGGTCTTGTCCTTTTGGTGTCCTCTGGTTTATATGCATGATTTGGTCTGATACCAGAGCATCAACAGGAGTCTCTTCATTAAAAGTTTGTCCAAAAAATGTCTGGAGATATTCTGAGAGGAGGGAGAGGCAGCCTGTGGTGGCTGCAATGCTACTGGGATAACACTTCTCTGTGACAGAGTAACAGAGCCTATTTTCCTGCCCCTGAATCACAGCTTGCTCTGGGACAGATGCACATTCCCTGCAGCAGCACAGGAACCTCTGTAGAAAGCCACTGCTGTTTCTGGACTGCTGCCTCATCTTCCTGCTGGAGAGTTCCTCTCCTGGCCTTTTAAATGGCTGTGCTCTCTGTTCCTCTCCCTGGGGGTTGGTTTTTGATGGATAGCACTGACATGTGCACGGATGTGGACTTCCCGCTGAGTTGATGGGTGACAGTTTTTGGGGTTTGGGTTACACCCAGAGTACTTTGCTTAGGAGGCTGTCAGATTAGTATTAACTGTCAGACAAATGATGGAGCTCTTTGTGTAATGATCCTGACAGCATTTCTCTGGCTGTCACCACAGAGATGACTCCAGGACATACAAAGCAATCAAATCCCTTGTCTCCACGATGTGTGTAAACACCGTCAGCTCTTCCCCCTGTACCAGAAGAACTGAATTAGACCTTTGGACTCTCTGAATTGAGAAGAGGAGTGAAGAAGAGCGAGGTCCAAGATCAACCATCTGGAAAGAGGAACAAGAGGCCAGAGCACCACAATAGTTCTGACTTGTACAAATTACTGCTTTATACCTGATACTCTCCTTTTCTGCCCAAGACCTCCTTAAGGGGTGAAATGCCTTATGTGTCTGTTGCAGGGCTTTGTTTGGGAAGAATCCTCCTCCCTCCCCAGCCCCCCGAATGACTCAATAATTACTTTAACTGATTCAAGGCTCCCCCTCAACCTCCAACCGCCCCCCTCTCCACCATTCAACTTTAACACAAGACCACACTGTTTCTCAGTTTCCAATGAGCCCAAAGCTATTCAGGCCCCTTGTTCCTCTCTGAAAGGAGCTGACAGAGCTGCTTTTGTGCAGAGGCAATTTTGGATTTAATTGGAGACCTACTGGGGGCAGGGCCGGGGGGGGGTGGGGGAGGGAATGGGGTCACTGGGTCAGTGTTTTGGAAAGATCAACTCAAGAGAGAGCCCAAGGAGAAAAATCAGTGGGGGTTAGATGTTTGGAGAGAGGTTTTGTGTGGGGCTGTGTAAGGGTAGTGCTCCCCACCTTCCAGAAACGATCATGATACCTGTGTGGGAGCAGAAGGCAAACAGGGTCAGGCCTGGGGCAGGTGGCTTTAATGGCCATTTTGAATCTGTAATGACAGATCCCAGGGTGCTTTCTGCAGGGATCACAGAATAATTCAGGCCGTGGTTGAAGGAGGTCTGATGTAGCAAAGGTCACTTGCTGCAGTCCATCCCCTTAGGTCAGGCATTCATCATGCACATTAAAGGAGCTCAGCTAACTTCCCTTCTCCAGCTCTACATCCTTCCCTGGAGATAAGTTCAGCTTCAGCCCTCTCTGTACCACTTTTGGGGCACAGTTCATGCCAGCACTGTGACTGCACCACGAGAAGGGAAGACCTTTTTTTTTCTAGTGAGGCAAATGGAAAGTCACACCAGGCTTTGAACCAGCACAGTCTTGCTGTGCAAGGGGACCACAGAACATCATCCACATGAAAAATGGGGCTAAGTGAGGCAGCATAAAAACAGTGGGATTCTCTCACTTCATTGCTCATCTTCTTTTTGGATGGTCCCACTTTCTCACCTGACAAAAAATATATAAATTAAACTGGAAAGATTTGTATTGATTATGCTGCAGAAAAGCCAATATAATCCTGGCAGAGCTAGACCACAGTCCAACAGAGATTCAGTAAAGCTATTTATGCAAAAAAAAGACCTTTTTTTGTTGTCAAAAGCCAGATGGACATGGCTTGAGATACAATAGGTAAGGCTGCTTTGAGTGGCTTAAAAAATTCTCCCTTCCCACCCCTGCCCACAGCACATTGAGGTCACCTCCCCTCATCTGTTACCAGTCCCAGCCCCTACTTCTCCAGCAAAGTGATGGCTCTCCATTTGCTGATCTAACTTCATTTTTAAAATGACTGAAAGCACCAAGAGAGGTGGGACCATCTCCTATTAAACTGCTCCAGGTTGGTGACAAGCGTGGAGCTGACAGTGCCCTTGTACAGCTCGGAGACAGACACCTGCTGGGAGCGTGTGCTGGGGGGGTGATGCATAATTTAGTGGTAAAACAGCAATCTTGCTATTATCCTGATGATGCACTTCAAATCCTGACATCTCCTGCCAGCTGCTCCAGGGAGGAGCAGGCTGGCACTGCTGAAGGGGGGTGACCAAGAGGAGCTCCTGGTTTTTGTGGGGGTGTGGGGAGGTGACCTCAGCTGAGTGAACAGAGACAGAGTGAAAAGCTGTTCAGTCAAGGCTGCTACACCCCTGAGAGTTACGTTTCCACCCGGCATCACAACTTTTCTCTGCTTCTTTCTCCTACGAGCCTCTGGCTGCATGTCCCTCTGGGATGTCTTTGCTGCCAGTTCACATCATCCCTATGGACCACAGATCCAGGTTTCCTCTAGGGAAACAGGGAGAGGTGTTTAAAGATGTCAGAGACCTATTGGGTTACATTTTTATCAGCAGTTCACCAGCCCTGCTCTGGCAGCATTAGACAGGTTGAAGCAACACAGAGTTCAAGCAGCCTTTGCTCTATTCCCACTACCTACTTGAAAACAAACAAGGCTGACATTTATAAGGCTTTATAAAGCCTGGGTTTAGCATTAGATCTGCTCTCAGATCCCTATTGTATTCCTCTCCTTGACATCTACTTGGTCTCAAACTGCTTGTTTCCAGGATGGCAGCAGACAGGTGGCCTTCGCATGTCAGAGACAATGGTGGTTTGGAGGGGGTAGAAAACATCTTCTCTGCCCAGAGGTTGCCCAGAAAAGCTGTGGATGCCCCATCATGGAAGTGTTCAAGGCCAGGTTGAACGGGGTTTTGAGCAACCTGGTCTAGTGGAAGGTGTCCCTGCCCATGGCAGGGCTTGGAATGAGATGATCTTTAAGGTCCCTTCCAACCCAAACCACTCATTCTATGATTCTCTCCCCCCTCAGCTTGAAGAAAAACACATTTTTATACATTTCTGCTCCCAGGGGATTTAAGGATACTGCTCAAGCCCAGGAAGCTGCAGTATTTTAAGCACCACTCTGTGATGTTGGTTGCAAGAAAACAGGAGTGGCCTATGTCAGTCTTTTCTATGTTGGTATCTTTACTGAAAATCCCTTTGGAGCACCATTCTGGGCTGGGATTGAAAATAGAACCATAGAATGATTTGGGTGGGAAGGGACCTTCAAGATCACCTTGTTCCAACCCCCTTCCATGGGCAGGGACACCTTCCACTAGACCAGGTTGCTCAGAGCCTCTTCCCACACGGCCTTGGACACTTCCAGGGATGGGGAGCCCACAACATCTCTGGGTAATCTGCCCAGGAAGATGGCAGTAGGAAAGACTTGCCAGACCAGGGATGTATGTCTGGAAACTCCTGCTAATCCATCATGTCTTGGTAGCTGTGAGACTTCCTCGTGCTACTTCAGGCTGAGGGTGCTGATAGTTAATAGCCCAGTACAGCCACATCACACGTGAAGAATTCCATGTGCCTGCTCAAGGCTGGATGCAGCAGAGGAGAGCAAAGAAGTCTGTCCACCTCCATCCCCAGCCCCACAGAGAGAGCAGTTACTGCCAGCTGGGCTCTTCGTGCTTCACAAAAATCAGTGATGGTCCAACGCTGCCCAGACTCGAAAAGCTCATATGTCCAGTGGCTTTGGATGGGGAGCAAGGGAAGAAGGTCAGGATGGCATTCCTTTCTCCAAAACTTCCTCACTCAAGACTGTCTCTATAAACAAATGAAACTTTGTTAGTTGCCTGCAAGGGAATGAAGAGAAGCAGCAATGCTGATCCAAATTACATATTGCATGATCAATTATATATTGAACTCTCCTAAAATGGTTTTGTTTCAAGAGAAAAAATTCTGCTGTTAATGAACCAAATGATCACCTGGATTTTCAAGGCTAGGACGTACCACCAGTTTATATATCTCTACCAAGAGTAGGGACTGTCACAGAAAGTATAATTAATGTACCTTTAGCACTGTGAAGGTGTTTGCTGCTCTATATATACCTCCCAAATAAGAGTCCAGGTACACCAAAGCACGACCCCATCATCTCAACTAATATTATCTCACTCAGATGCTGAGTTCTAATGTCCAGACATAAGTATGAACAATCACCAGGGCTACAACTGCTATTTCCCAGCACTGCTCCATCAGTATTTAATCCGCTGCTTTATAGAGCACTGTAGGAGATCCCCAGAAAGGAAAACAGCTGCAGCCAAGTTCTGCTCCAAAAAGTATTTTCAATTGAGAGGCCTATTAATCCAGGCAATAGGCATTAAATGACGTAACAGAGAAGCTGGAGGGCTGATATGCCCTTCTACCCAGGGTAGGAAAAATTCCTTTTTATGCCTGGGATAGTTGTTGTAAAAGAGAGCCCTACAGGAGTCTGAGAAATTTGTTCCAGGATTATTATTTCTCCTTCTTGAAGCAGCAGCTGCTGGCTTTCTTTTTTTACCCTAAACCAGTATAATGTATTTCTATGCATATATAAACATATTTATATATGCATATTTGCATATATATTTACATATAAAATGCATATTTGTGTATTTATTAATATATGTAACTATATGTATTTATATGTAGATATATTTATACCACAGTGTATTTAATTTCTTTGGTTGTTGCAATGATTGTTTAGCAATCCACAGGAGTGATTCTTGGGGTTGTCTTGTGAAGGGCCAGGAGTTGGACTTTGATGGTTTTTGGAGGTCCCTTTCAACTCAGGATATTCTGTGATTCTGTTATTCTGTGAGATGAGATGACAGTCAGTGCAAAACGAGCCTGCAGCTGTATTCCCTGAATTTCCAGCCATTTCCATTCAGACTCTTTCATTCTTTGAGCTTGCAAAGAGAGACACATCCTCCAAAGAAAGGTTGGGAGGCTCTCCAAGAAAAATTGTTGGCTTAATCAGCAGCAAGCTACAAGTCACTTTTGGGATCCTTGTGTGACCCTGAAAAACTTGTGCTGTGTCTCTGTGCCTGAAGTCCAAGTCTGGAACGCGGACAAAACAGCTCTGACTAGTTTCCTGAAGAGGTGGTAAACACTCATTTTTGGCTTGCATTTTCTAATCTTATATCCCTGTATATCGGGTTTTTCTTTTTGCACCTCTATCTCTCCAGCAAGTGAAACCTGAGATGAGGTGTTTGGTGTCTCCCACAACGACAAGATTTAGAATCCCGCTGGGTATGTTATGTACTGATTTTTTCCTGCTTTCCTTTGGTCCTCTCCTGTCTTTGAAGAGGCTGAGTAGGTGAGCTGGGATGATATCAGTGTTTGTCAGGTAATAATTATCAGGTCATATCAGAAAGCTGTTCTCACCATGATGTGTTGGCAGGGTGATAACACAACCTGTTCACCCAACTTGGAATCACAGAATAGTTTGGATTGGACCAGATGACCTTTAAAGGTCATGAAAAGGGATATCTCCAAGTAGATCAGGCTGTTCAGAGCCTCATCAAATCTGGTCATGAATGTTTCCAGGGATGGGGAATCTACCAGCAATCTCTCAGCAAACCTCATCCAATATTTCACCATCGCCACTGTAAAAAAGTCTTTCCTTATGTCTAGTCTGAATCTTCCCTCTTTTAGTTTAAAACCACCACCCCTTGTCCTATCATCACAGGCCCTACTAAAAAATATCTCTCCATCTTTCTTACAAGCCATCTTTA